CTATATTACCTATTGATAATCATGCTCTTACATATATGATCGTATATCTGATATTTTAGTTTCGCAAGGGAGATTGGCAACAAAGAGTCTTTTTACTTACAACAACTTCCTGAATTTAACAGCCAAGTGTTAGCATGAGTCGAAGGACTTTGAATTGCATAACAACAAAACTTCTGTTTCTTCTTAGCCTGACATATTTTGAAGATAATAAGAACATGTACCTCAATAATATCTGGAAGGTAGTCTTCTTCTACCAAAAGGTTTTCTCGTCGAAGGTAGTCTTCGTACCTAGAATATCAAAAACCTGTGATTTCTCCATGTATACCAAAAACTCCACCCAATGTGCTCTTGATAACAAATAGTTAAATCCCTCACCAAACATTGTGATCTATGCAATACCTAATTAAGAAAAAATGAAAAATAATAGCGTTAGTCTTTTGTAATGGCATCAAAACTCTAGCAATTAGTTACAACCATGTTACAAAATCAAATTACTTGGGTCATCGAAAGTATTGAGCTACCGTAGCCACTTCAAGATAAATCTTGCAATCTTGCAAATATTCACCATTCTTCTTTTCCAGCGCCTACAGTATAAAATATTTATTCAGCAATCGTATCGTACATTCAAATAACTACTCCTATAGTAAGTATACACTATTTATTCAAATGACTACTAAAATACTTCTCATCATTACGATAACATATACTATCACCTTCTTTGCTTCTTTAGTAGATGCAAACTCAACAAAGCCGTAGCCCTCATGCTTGCCCGTGTGGTTTACAACTTCTCCAACATCTTTGAAGAAATTGATGCTGTAAAAATCGAGGATAAAATATTGGTCATTAAAAATCTGCTCCAAGAACAAAAGAGGAAATTAAAGGTGCTACTTACATATGTGATATTTTCAGTATGGGGAGAGAGTTGGTCAACAAAGAGAGTCACATCTTCTTCTGTCAGAAGCCTTTCACGTCGCAGGTAGTCTTCGTAACTGAAATATCAAAAACACTAGTGATCTCTCCACGTATACCAAAAAAACTTCACCCAGTGTGCTCTTGATAATAACCTCAAGAGGCAAATAGTTAAATCCCTTACCAAAGCTTCTCTGCAAGGTTGTACCTAATATAGAAAACTAATAGCGTTAGTCTTCTGCAATGGCATCAAAACTCTAACAATAAGTTAAAACCAGTGTTGCTTACATTAACAAATCTCCACAACATGGAAAATCAATTTACCTGGGTCGTGGAGAGTATGGAGCTGTCTTAGCCAAATCAAGAAAAATCTTGCAATCAAGCAAATATTCACCATTCTTTTAGAGCGCCTACGGTATTAAAGATTTTTTTTAGCAATCGTACTTTCACATAACTACTTGTATAATTTTCATCATAGGAATACACTACTTATCAAATTACTAATACTCTTTTCATCGCTACTTCCAAACTACTCTCACCTTCTCTGCTTTGTTAGAAGAAGCAAACTCAACAAAGCCATAGCCCACATGCTTACCCTCGTGGTTTACAATAAGTCGAACACTAACAACTTCTCCAACATTTTTGAAGAAATCAATGCTGTAAAAGTGGAGGATAAAATATCAGTCATGAAAAACTTGCTCCGCAAGAAAAAGTGAAATTTTAAGGTGCTACTTACATGTGTAAAATTTCAGTTTGGGGAGAGAGATTGGCAACAAAGAGTACTTCCTGAATGGAACAGCTAAGTGTGTTAGCACGATCCTAAGGAGAAAAGGACTTAAATTGCATAACAACAAAAAGTAGATTCATCCCCAGAATAGGTCAGCTTTCGACTTTGTGGCAACAGTTGCGTTATTAAACGCTAAAGCGTTTCTTCTGAGCCTGACATATTTTGAGGATGGTAAGAAGAGGTACCTCAACAAATCGGGAGTTTCTTCTACCAGAAGGCTTTCTCGTGGAAGGTAGTCTTCGTACCTGGAATATCAAAAACCCTTGTAATCGCTCCATGTATACCAGAAACTTCACCCAATGTACTCTTGATAACAAACACAAGATGCAAATAGCTAAATGCCTTACCAAACTTTGTGATCTATGCAAAACCTATTCAAGAAATATAATAGCGTTAGTCTTCTGTAATGGCATCAAAAATAGTGTTACATGAACAAATCTCCATAATCAATTTACTTGGGTCGGCATGGATCTACTGTAGATCCCTCAAGAAAAATCTTACGGCCGTGCAAATATTCACCATTCTTCTTTTGAAGCGCCTACAGTGTAAAAGAATTCATACTTTCACATAACTACTACTATATATTTCATCATATATGATTATTATATTATGACTTTTCAATTGAGAACTACTCTCACCTTCTTTGCTTCGTTAGGAGAAACAAACTCAACAATGACACAGCCCAGAAGATGACCCCTGCGATTTACAATAAGTTGAACACGAACAACTTCTGCAAGATGCTTGAAGAAATTGGTGCTGTAAAAATGGAGGATAAAATATGAGTTGCTTGGAGAACAGAGTTGAAATTTGAGCTTATATCAGCTACTTACATATCTGATATTAAATCTGATATTTCAGCTTGGGGAGAGAGACCGGCAATGAAGAGCTTATTTTTTTACTACGGCGGCAGCATCCTGAATTGAACAGCCAAGTGTGTTAGCACACTTAGAACATAGTATAAAGACAAATTGTTGTCAAAGAACAAGAGGATTCCGACCATCTTAGGTTTACCTTCTCCTCGGATTCTGTCTTGTGTCTCTTCAGAATCGGATTGGTCTGCAAGTCATCTTTCCGGTTTCGCTTACCTAAAAGAAGAGCAGCAAAGACAGTTGAAATCAACAACCAAGTAAGTGTGTATACATAAAACATTAGATAAGAGAAAGAGAGAGCCACCCAAAACAAACCCAATAAATTAGCTGATTTCTTGCTAGAACTGGCCATGGAGAAGATGAAAACGGCGATGATTTTTTTTTCCGGCAAAGTAGCAAAATAAGTTCCTTATCAATAACCTCGTTTGGGCTTTTATTGATTGGCTTTTTGAAATTAGAGAGCTTTTTTGTTGTCACTTGAAATGAGTTATGTTGAGTATTAACTCAGGGTGGACACAATACTCGGAACCAGAAAATCAAACCAAACCCAATTCAAATTACCCAAACCGATTTCTCTAGCATTTGAATTGAAAGAAAACTTATTTGTTTAATAAATATATAAATAACTTATATTTATTTGAATTGTATCCTAAATATAATTTATGTCAAATTGAGCATTTGAATTGTTATTCTGAATATAAATTGGTTGTTGTCATCTTCTATCATCTATATATATGGTGGCTAGGCATATTGTTGTGGGTTTAGATTATTAGTGGTAAAAAAATTTAAAAGATTTATAAAAAAATATCAAACGAGAATTTATTAGTGGGTACAATTTTAAGAAAAACTAGATTCTCACCCGCACTTTGTGCGGGAACATTCATTTTATATGTTGTAAACTATACTTAGCTTTCGTATTGTGTCGTATATAATATGTTTTAAGATTAGATATGTATTGTTTTACTTTGTAAGTAGAATCGATTAGTTTGAAAAAGTATGATGGTTTCTTTAGTTTGAAGGTAGAGAATATTTAGGTGGTTTCTCTTCTTAGAACATGGTTTCTCTTCTCACGTCAGCACGAATGATTGAGATCGAGATTTAAAATTACTTGAATAAGAATGGTTTATAATATGGCCATGGTACTAAATCTCTATGTAATAGAACAAATTTAAAATAACTAAAAAAACCAAAACATAAATTGTAGGTGTAACCCCAAAGATTTGATCCAAAAAGCAAAACAATAGTACTTGAGACTCCATC